CCATGAGATGCAACAAGAGAGAAGTATTGGACCTGGAGTCAGGAGGGGTCTGAGTTCCCATCATGCATCTGGCCCCTCTACATGTACCCTCAATCTCATCTTCTACAGACTGCTGCCACTTTGGCTTCTTCCTTGTTGCCTACAAACACGCCTACCTCCCCTCCATCCTTAATAAACTCATTCGATCTTGCACTTCCTGTTAGATATTGACCTGTCTCTCTCCCCACCACTGCACAACATTTAGCATTCAGTTAAGTAGTTTTTCGGTTGTGTCTGACTCTTTGTGACCCCATTTGGAGTTTTCTTGGCTGGAGTGGTTTGCCATTTCCTTCTCCAGCTCATTTTACAGATGAGGAAACTGAGGCAAACAGGGTTAAGTGACTTGCCTAGGGTTACACAGCTAGTCAGTGTCTGAGGTAGGATTTGAACTCAGGAAGATAAGTCATCCTAATTGCAGGCCCAGCACTCCATCCGCTGCACTGCCTAGCTGTCCTCTACCATTGCACACTTCAGCTAAACACGTTGAAAAAAAAATCTACACTGAGTGCTTTCACTTCTTGTCTTCTCACTTCCTCCCCTTCTGCAGTCTGACCTCATCAATTCAACTGAAACTTCTTTCTCCAAAGTCACCAATGACGTCTTAATTGCTAAATCTACAGGCCTTTGACAACGTAGACTCTCCTCTTCCCTGGATACTACCTCCCCCTAGGTTTTTCTGACATTCCTCTCTCCTGGTTTTTCTCCCACCTGTCTGACTATCTTTCAGTCTGTTTTGCCTTGTCTTCATCCAGGTCATACCCACTAATGGAGGGTGTCCCCCAAGGCTTTGCCATGGGCCCTTTTCTCTTTTCCTTATATCTGCTATCTCATTTAATGATCTTATCAGCTCCCAAGAGGCTCAACTGTGATCTCTAGGCAGATGATTCCTCTCCCTCCCTCCCTCCCTCTCTCTCTCCCTCTCCCTCCCTCCCCCCCTCCCCCCCTCTCTCTCCCTCCCTCCCTCCTTCCCTCTCCCTCCCTCCCTCTCTCCCTTTCCTCCCTCTCTCCCCTCCCCCCCATACATACACATATAATATATATATATATATGTGTGTGTGCATCTATCTATACCTATAGATATATAAGTGTATATATAGATACCCAGTCCTAATCTCCCACATCACTAGCTGCCTCCTAGGCATTTTGAATTGGATGTCCCATAGACATCTTAAATTCAACATGTCTAAAACAAAATTCGTTATCTTTTCCCCAAAACCTTTCCTTCTTCTGAATTTCTCTATTACTGTGAAGCACCGCCATCCTCGCAGTCACCTCATGACATTGGTGTTATCATCAGCACTTACCTCAAATTCATCTCACATATCCAATCTCAGTTTCCTCATCTAAGAAAGAGAGATCATAATATTTGCATGACTTATCTCACTGGATTGTTATGGGACATGCACTTTATAAACCTTAAAGTACTGTATAAATGTGATTTGTTAACATTTTCAGTTTGGTGACCTTGGTTATCCAACCTCTTGAATTGCTTTATGTCATGAGGAAGACTCTTTCTGAAATCTAACCGTCTTCCTTCCTAATGTCCATCATTGCAGTTACTCTGACAGTCAGTCAATAAGCATTTATTAAGCACCTACTCTGTACCGGGAACAGTGTTAATCTCTTCTGCCTCAGTTTTCTTAAATATAAAATGTTAGTAATAAAATGAGATGATATTTGTAAAGTGACATAGCTGATCACATTTTTAAATGACAGTTCTTTGTTCTCAGGGAGCATACAGTCTAATGAGGGTGACAACAAGCAAAAAAACTATGTATAAACAAGATAGATAGGTAGATAGATATGTACAGGGTAAATTAGAGATAATCAGTAACTAGACCATTCTTCTATTATATCCATTTTAGGGTCTAGGTTTAAAGCCAAGGTTCTTACCCTGGGGTCCATGATTTTTAAAAATATTTTGATACCTGTGTTTCATTGTAATTGGTTTCCATTGCAACCCCATATATTTATATTATTTTGTGCATTTGAAACCATGATTCTGGGAAAGGGTCCATCGCTTTCACCAAACTGCCCAAGGGGTGTACGACACACAAAAAAGGCTAAGAACCCCACTTTAAGAGCTATGGGTTTTAACTCATCCCATGGTACTTCCAAAGGGTTGGGAATCACACCATGTTCTTTGGAGTTCTGCCTCCACCCCCAGCAGTCTCCTTGTGGTTTTCCTCTCCTCCAGCTTTTGCTGAGCTACAGACAGACATCCATGAGCTGACGAGTGACCTGGATGGGGCTGGAATTCCCTTCTTGGACTATCGGACATACACCATGCGAGTGTTATTTCCTGGCATAGAAGATCACCCTGTACTCCGGGACCTGGAGGTAAGCAACAGAATGCCTGTACACCCCTTATTATAGATTCATTGAATGTTTCCCCTGGAATGGGTTTTCAAGAGCCTTCCTTATTATAGATGGAGAGAATGGAGGGAGGTGAAGGAAAAATAATTGTTTGATAGCTATAAGGGATCTCAGAGGCCATCTAATACAACCCTCTCATTTTACAGATGAAGAAAGTGAGGCCCAGAGAAGCTGCCCGAGGTCACATAGGTAATAAGTGACAGAGATAGAATTTGAACCGGGGATCTCTGATTTCAATACCAGCATTCTTTCCACTATAAAAAAGCACTAAACTATAAATTGTAGGACCTAAGTTTGAATACAAGCTCTGCCGTTTGCTACCTATGTGACCTTGAAAGAGTCATTCAAACTCGATGGTGATACTTTCTTATCTGTAAAAATGAGAGGGTGGCAGATGGCGAGGGGAGTGGTTTCAGAAAAACAGGAGAAGACCTGTATGAACTGATACAGGTGAAATGAGAAGAACCGGGACATTTTTCTGCATAGTAACAGAAATGTTGTAATGATGTGATGCTGTATTGTAATAGTAATGTTGTCATGATGATCAACTGTGAAAGAATTTGCTACTCTGATCAATACAATGATCCGAGACAATTCCAAAGGACTTGTGATGAAAAAACTGCTGTGCACCTCCAGAGAAAGACCTGATGAACTTTGAATGCAAAATGAAGTATACTTTTCTCACTTTATTTTTCTTGCTTTTTTAAAAAATATAGCTGATATGGACATATGTTTTGCATGAATTCACATGTATAATTGATGTCATATTGCTCACCTTCTCAGTGTGTGGGGGAGGTTGGAAGAGAGGGAGAGAATTTAGACCTCAAAATTTAAAAAGAAAAGAATGTCAAAAATAAAGAAATAATAAATTTGAAAAACATTTTAAAAAATAAAACAAGGAGAAAAAGCCAAAGGGTTGCATTAGATGACTTTTATAGTCATCCTTTCCAATTCTAAATCTGTATTAAATAATAATAATAATAATAATAATAGTAACAGCATTTATATAGCATTTTAAGGGTTGCAAAGCACTTTATAAGTATTATCTCATTTTATTCTAGCAATAAACCTGCAAGATAGATGTTATTATTACTGTCATTTTGCAGATAAGAAAATTGAGGCAGACTTAAGTAACTTGCCTACAGTCACATAGCTAGTAAGTGTCTAAAGTTGGATTTGAACTCAGGTCTTCTTGAGTTAGAGATGTGGGGTGAGTTTGAGATTTAGTTGAGTTGAGTTTAGGTTGGTGGTACCCTTTTTAATTCTAGGTCCAGTAGTCTGTGCCACCTACCTGGGCATTTGCCTAAAGTTCCACATTTAGTATAAACGCCATTAGACATCTTGGCCAAATGACAGGCTCAAACCAAAGAAACCTACAGCCAGATGTGTAGAGGCTAAATAAGAAGCAGAAGGGTGTGGTTAGAGTTGCATGCTTGTTATTTGCTTATACTAGGAAAGGGAAGGAAACTGTGAATATATGTGGATATATATCACTGTTTGTAAATGGAGAGGCAGCTTTCAAGTTGAGAAGATCAGATGATTTGGGTCTGAATCCCAGAGCCAACACTTCCTAGTTACATGAATGACCCTGGGAAAATCATTTCCCTTCTCTGTACCCTAAGACTCCTCCTCTCTAAACTGTGTGTATTTGAATTACCTCCATCCCAGAGTCATTGTGAGGAAACTGCTTTGCATACATAAAAGCACATTATAAATGAGAATTGTTATTATTACAAGCAAGGACAATATTTTATATAGCTCTGTATCCCAGATACTACCATCCCATGCTAGGTGTTCTCGGCATATTGAATGAATAAAGGAATGGATGAATTGAATTAGAGATAGAAATGGAAAATAGACATGCACCAGCAAACACAAGCTGTTATGTGTTTCAGTGGTCAGATGGCACATCTGTCTGGATTTGATGGTGTATGTGTCTAGACAAGGAAATAGAACCCGGGACGCCAGGGACATCACTGTGAGGTTTCTGAGACATACAAGTCTACCACTTCTCAGTATATGTACCTTTTTCCCCTTTTTCTGTCTTCTCCTCCTCCTCCTTCCTCACAGTGCCTGACTCATAGTAGGTGCTATATAAATGCTCATTCCCTTCCACTTTCTTTCCCTCCTTCCTCTTCTCATTTTGTAGCTTTCTTTTCCCCCTCGTCATTTTGTCCACTCTCCTTTTGATGGTTCATATCTGTCATTGAATATGAGTTCCATAAGTAGAGGGTCTGTTTCATTTTTGTCTCTTTTACCTTAATGCCCAGCACAATCCCTCGCACACAGTAGGTGCTTAATAAGTGCTTCTTGAATAGAATTGCTTGGCCCCATTCGTGGCCCAAGAAGTTGTTGCTGGTATAAAATGAAATCTTGGCATAGTAGAGAGAAGTGCCTAGCAGAGTGGAGAAAAGATTTGATTTGGAATCAAAAGGCCTGGGTTTGAGAGAGTCCCTACTATGCAGCCTTTGGCGATGCACATCATCTCCATGGCTGTCAGTTCCCTAACCTTTAAAGAGGGGATAACAATTTCACAACTCACAGAGCTATTATAAGTAGTCACTAAAGATCTTATCTCCAGGATGACCTTCCTGCAGAGATCCCAGACCTTGAACTTCACCATGGTGGCTACTCTGTTATACTACAACTATCTCCAAAAGGAAGGAGCCATCTATGAGTATACCCAAACCAGGGATAAAACTGTTAGCACAAGACCAGGCTCTGATCCCCAGGATGTTGTCCTATCGAAAACAAACCCAAAATGACTACCCTTTCAGTTTTCCCATTTGACCAGTTGTGAATCCACTTAGCTGTGCTACTGTTTGATCCTTCTCTCCCTTACACAAGGAAGAATCTACACATATTTGTGGATGTTTGGATCACACTCACTATCATCCTTATAAACTCTCAATACACTGGAATCCTTTGTGGAATCTGGAAGATCAGGATGGATATCCTGAGAATTCTGATGCTGGAATTGTGATAACGGTTTGGCAAACCTATAGCAAGTCATCCAGCCATTCGTTTGACAGATGCCATCTGCGTGTATCATAATTGTAAAATGTTAGCATGTCTAGACACACACGGACTCCCTATCTACCCTGCCCACCCAGACCATATACCCTAGTCCTTATCGTATAAATTGAATCACCCTCATTCCCCATGTGGCATGTGTCTTCCCTGTCTGGGCATCTTCAGTTGCCTATTGGATATCTTAAATTCAACATACCCAATGCTGAACTCATTGTCTTTCACCAAAACCCTTACCCTCTTCCTAACCTCCCTATTACTGTTGAGGGCACCTTTACCCTCCTAATCAGCCAGGTTCTCCACCTAGGTGTTATCCTTGACTCCTCATGCTTACCCCCCCCCCCCATATCCAATCTCTGGCCAAATCTTGAAATTTCTGCCTTTGAAATATTTCTCCTATATGCCCCCTTTCTCTTCTCCCATGCTGCCTGGAGCAGACTCTCCTCACCTCACACCTAATTGTAATAGCTGATGGCTGGTCTTCTTGCCACAAGTTTCTCCCCTCTCCAATCTATCCTCTACTCAGCTGTCAAATTGATCTTCTAAAAGTTCTGACCACATCAACCCCCCTATTCAATAAACTCCAGTGACTCTCCCTCACCTTTGTGATCAAATATAAAACCCTCTGTTTGGCATTCAAAGCCCCTCATACCCTATCCCCACTCCTACCTACTTCCTTTCTTCTTGTACCTTACTCACGCCCACATATTCTTTGATCCAATGACACTGGCCTTCTAAATGTTCCTCGAATAAAACACACTATCTCCTGATTGTGGATATTTTCCCAAGGGCTGTCCCCCAAATGCAGAATTCTCTCCCTCCTCATTTCTGCCTCCTGGCTTCCCGATTTCCTTTAAGCCTTAGTTAAAACACCACCTTTTGCAAGAAGCCTTTCCCAAACCCCCTTAATGTTAGTCCTACACTCTGTTGATTATTAGCCTTTATATATGTTCTATGAACATAGTTGTTTGCATGTTGCTTCCCCCATTAGACTGTGAACTCCTTGAGAACAATGATCATTTTGTCTTTCTTTGCCCCAAACGCAATGCAGGGCATGCACTAAGCACTTAATAAATGCTTACTGGCTGTCTTAATCAGGATTTTAATTTTCATCTGTTTATTGATTATTTGATTTATTGATTTACTTTGATCTCTAAGCCTTTCCTTGAAAGAGAGGCTTTCTATCAGGTCATCTAACCAAGAAAGAGTTAAAATAAAATCTGCCCCAATTCAGCTCCTATTTCCCTAGTAAGAAGCCCACAAGATGGTTAATTGTCAAGAAAAGGCTCTGTCTGGAGCAGGTTATGTGGCCTTCTAGTTTCCAATAAACTTGCTAATTAATTGCTTGCAGACATGAGCAGAAATAAACTTTTGCTGCTGCACATTAGCCCGAGGTGATGTAAGATTCAGAATTCTAGCAAGGGAGCTTTGAATCACACTTTCCTTGCTTGTTTTTTTTTTTTTTTTTCTCCCACATGCCTCCTTAGTTTCACCCTATTGACTTTCTGGAAACAGAAATATTCCAAAAGGGCAGCAGAGTGGTCTGGAGTTCAACCTTTTCTCATTCATGACAAACCCATGAACTCACTAGTGTGTATACTTTGGGCTTAGGAGGAACACTTCAGGGGATAGAGTTGAGACTCCTCATTTGTGTGCTATCTTTACTTCCTTTTTTCCTCCATACCTATTTATCCACCAGTCTATTAATCTGTTCATCTATACCTTCATAATCAGCCTTATCCAGCCTCCCAGAATCCCAGAAAGATGAAAGAGAGACCTCAGAGTTCAGCTAGTCTAACTCATCTCTGAATACAAATTTTCTCCACAGCATCCTTCAACAAGTTAGAATTGGGGTTCTTCACCCTTTGGGAGTTATGGAGCCCTTTGGCAGTGTAATGAAGCCTATGGATCCCTTCTCTGAATCATGCTTTTAA